TTGATTTTATTCTCTATTTTGATATTTATTGTATTTTTATTATGATATTTAATTCTATTATGATATTGTTTATTTCTATTTGAATTAATGATAAAATATTTATGATGAAAATGAATGAAATAATTTATACCATAAATGTTGTAATTGTTATGATGATATAAATCGTATCTATTTTCATTAAATCTTCTATCACTTATATTTCTTATTGATTTGAATTTCTCATTCTTTTGTTATTTATTTTTATATAATGTGTTTGATATTTCCTGATTTTCATTTTTAATCAAAGGAAAACAAATGAAAAAAAGATAAAGGAAAAAGAAAAGAATTGAAATAAAAATGACAATATTTTTATATATCACAACCATTGCATATTTAATTTTATTTCAATTTCAGAACAATGACATTTGAAATGATAAAACAAGGAAAGTATTAACAATACAAACAAAAGAATAAACAAAAAAAGTTGAAATATAATACGAAATAATTCGATTGATTTTATCTATTTTTAATTCAAAGAAATTCAAGTCAATAAAACTGATAAAAATGAATGAATAAGAAGTAATTAATTACCATTGCAAATTTACATTGAAGATAATTTTATTGTAATTTTATCTCATGAACATGCAATTGAAAATAAAAATCATATTGAAATATTAAAATAAAACTGAATAAAATATAAAATTAATAGTATTTAGTAACAAAACAAATGATATTTATAAAAATCAATCAATTATAAAAATAACATAATTAAACAACCAACTTATTTTTTTGAAATGTTACTAATTAATCTAAAACAAAACTTATTAAAAATTGAATGTCAAGAGTAATAATCTAATTTTATTTGAATGGATGATTCATTTCAAATAAATCATTAAAGTCATAAGACAGATTGAAAATAATAAGAGAGAATATTATTCTCAACAATTTTTAACAAGAAATGGAGATATAAATAATATAAAAGATGAAGAATACTTTACTGTTGAAGATATAATAAACCATGAAGAAATTAATATTAAGAAGAGAAAGAAAATATACCAGAAATAAATGATATAATATTTGGAATATGTTTGAGTGGAAGGTCAATAATAAAAAAAAACAATTCAACAAAAAAATTTCTCTTTTAAATAATAGTAAAGAAATTGAAAAAGTAAAACAAATTTCAAAAGATTTTGTATTTGAAGAACAAGAAGGATTTAAAATATTAAATGATAATAAACTGCTGTTAACATTAACATATACTTTGTATAATAACAAGATCATTGTAACAATACAAGTATCGGAAATAAATAGTGTATTTTTTATTGCAGAAATTAGAAATATTCAATAAAAAGTGTCTAATTCAATGGTGTAAAATAATTAAAAATATTTTATTGTTGAAGTAAAATAAGGCATTGTTTTATTGATGAAAAATATTTTATTATTATTTATGTGTATTATTTCTTTGTTTATGTTGGTTTGCATTTTTTTTTATTTCTGAGTGTAAATCATTAATACATCAAATGTTATTATTTCATTATTGAAAAGAATTATTATCAAACGTAATGAACAACAAAATATTTGTATAATATCTCTCATTTTTTAATATCAGTATTTCAGTCATAAAACAAATTTATTTTAAATGAAGATGAATTTATGAAAATATTACATTATTTAAAAGATGAAATATAATAAATAAATAGAAATAATCCTGAAGATATAATGTATAGAGAAATAAAAATATAAGTTCAAATAATAACAATGAATATTTTGAAAAAAAATAAATGAAAAATGACTTAATAAATAATATAAATACATTTGCATTCATAATAATTTTGATAATGAAACAGTGATTATAAATCCTAGAAAGACCAATAAGAATAATTAAAATATTATAATAATAACAGGAATATTAATAAATAATAAATAAAAGAATTAATTCAAAGTATTTTACTGTGAGTAAATTAAAAAAAATCTAAAAAAAAAGAATATTTTTTTACCATAAAATTTTTGTATTAGAAAAAACATCGATTCTAGTCTAAACTTCCAATGATTTTTTTATAAGTTATTTCGGAAAAACCAATGAATTTAGTCAAAATAAAATTAAAAAACACTTGCAGAATAAGTTTGTACCCATGAATAAAAAAGGCAATGTGATTAATTTAATACATCAATATTTTATTTCTTAATTAAACAATTTATTTGTCTTTCTACTAAAACCATAACAGATTATTGCCTGAGCAATAATTCAAATATAGATCTCAAAAATATGAAATTTTTAATATTATGCGAATAAATCTGAACAAAAATTTTATTTCTCTTCGACTGAAAAAGTTCAAGTGCAAAAAAAATTAAAAGAAGAAATAAGAACGAAATTCAAATTTTATTTTCGAATAATTTCTTTAAAATTCTATACTATTCTAAAACACAAACATTTTATGTAAAGATTGAGTGGAACAATTCTATTTATTTGATTTATTTCTGTTTCTTTTAATAAACTAGCTTTTTTTAATAAACAGACTTTGTATATTTTTCAATAATTTTTTTTGAACTTATAAGTTAAATTCTTATGTTGTCAATTCCATGGCTTCTTCGGGTTGTTGTTGGATCACTCCTTCTAGGTATAACATCAACTGTTTTTACATTTATCCTTCCTGCAGCTGATCTCAATTTTCAATTCCGTCAGTCACTTGATGCTCCAAGTTTTCTCACCCAAACAAGATTTAACCTTACTAACTTTAATTATGATGGAGAGTGTTCTAAAGTATTTAAAAGTGAAAAAAATAATGAAAGAGATGTATTATTGCTTGGTGGTTCTTTTCATCAAGCAAAAAAATGGAAAGAATTAGAGCCAATGGTTTATAGTCAATTTAAAATGAATTTAGAAACTATCCCAAATGCAAAGAAAGTTTTTGTATTAATTGGTAATCCACCAACACCAGACTTTATTGAAAATTTGAATAAGTGTGGAGTAGAAGTTGTTCAAGCAAAAAATGTACCTCAGGGAAATGGTGTTATTATTAGGTTC